TATATATACGCGTGTGTGTACACATGTAACTAACAACTCCCATAATCCTGCATATTATGTGAACTGAGAAACTCGTGTTTTTTTTAACGTCATTACTGCTTTCAGCTGATACAACGAACTGCGGAATTCCACATTTTTACTGCTCTGAAAGTAACAAAAATCCTTATGTAGCCAAAGATTTAACCGCATCTCGTTCAACTTCATGTTGTGTCCATGTGTCCAGAGGCGTATCTACAGAAAATTGAGCCTATGGCAAGCAGTGAAAATTGTACCCCTTTCCAAAATTCTTACATCCATATTTTAAATAATATCAGCTCAAAAATGCAAGTCAAACTCATTAATCTTTGATTAACAAATTATGGCACTACATGAAAATTATAACTGCACCTTTCTTTGTTTCAGTGCTGCAAATTGATTTATGATGTGATCAAAGTCATTTTTTTCCGTTTATTTCTTTCTACACTCAGCAGAACAAGATCACAGAGTCTGCCTTGACCCCTTTAATCAGCATCCCCCCTTACATAAGAGCCCCCACTTGATGTTGTGGGTTTGATGCCCCAAGCACCCTCCTATATTGAAGCCCCATTGTACCAAAGCAGCTCCTCCTCACATTTCTGTGCCAAAGCCAAACAATAGGGCTCCTATGACTTTGTCTTCTCTATGCCCCCCTCCCCCACGGTTTCTGAAGATGTCACTGGTTGGGCAGGACGCTGACCAGGGCTTCCCAGGTTGCTGAGGTTGGGAGGGGAGATGTGTATGGCCCGTCTGGCTCTAAGCGACCGGGGAGAGAGGGGTAGGGAGAGTAAAAAAAAATTGAATAACGATAGTGGCAGTCTGCTGTCTCCGGAGCAGCACCCTCCCCTTTAAGTGGCACCCAGGGCATGTGCCATACCCGGATACACCACTGAAAAAAAGTGGCTCAATAAGTCTGAAAGCGATAGCTATTGTATCTGACACAAAGTTCTAAATGTCACCCAAGTCACTCTAGCCCCGTTAATATACTAAGCTAAACTTTACAATCTGCAGGTTTTTAAGTGCCTTCTCCCACTGCAGTGGCTTTCCACATTGTCTAAGTGTCTTCAGGGTCTCGTCCTATAGACTTAAATGGGATGCACCTGTACTACAGGAGCAACAATCTCATTTAATTATATGGGACAGTTAGCAGGTTGCAGTCAGCACAGCACTATATCTTTACAGGCCACCCTGCAGACAGGATACGGGGATGGGGGTGGGTGACGTTGCTGTCTGGGGAGGTAAGCAAGATCTGTAGGGGATAGCCCAGCATAGTGTATTTGGAGCTAAGGAGAGGGGGGGCTGATTTATTTATATATAATTTAAAAAATAAAAAATTAACTTCTACTTTAATAACGTATAGTAAAGTTTTGGGAACAAAATACCCTTTTTCAGACTAGGTGCCACATGCTGTTTTTTCAAATGAAATCACTGAGAGCCAGCATTTAGCTACATTCTACATTGGCAATGCATGGATGAGTGCCTCAACCACATTCTGTTGATCAAATAGGCAGTTCCAATCCAGTATCACACACCATATGTCGAACATCAATCATATTTTGTTATAAAAGTGTGGCACAAGACAGAAGAACTATAGTGGGGAAAATTAGATAAGTAGAAACGGATAAACAAAGGAGGAAAAGGAGACAGACAGATTTATCAAGTAAATTAGTTCAAAATTAGAAAATGAAACTAGGCTGCCTCTTATCTAAGAAAACATACCCCACAGATATTTTTTTTATAATTGCAACCCCTGCGTTTATAGTCTTGGAATTTTGCAAAAGTCTGCAACAGATTTAGCACTGTAGTTGATTCTTTCAGAAATGAAGTGTTCAGGAACAGGACTTATATTGTTGCGGTGCTAGGGAGGAATATAGACAGTACAAGCTGGAACCTTATGGAAAATATGTGTCATATCTTTCTCACAATCCGTGTCACTGCCCCTTGTTTAGCATGAAAAGAATTGAATAAATCTCCCCCATAAGGTCCACATGCATCATTCAGGACACATCCATATTTCGCTACTAGGAAAACGACGACGAAATACGTGTTTTATAAAACGACATAAAAGTACAGAGGTGTAAGGCTTTTTGATTAATATTTTTATTACTATGAAAGACTTCGATGAATTTTAGGTGACTGATAATGACCGATAATCAAAAATCAGCTGTGACAAACCTGTGCTTTGTCTCATTCGTAGGATGAATACTTATGCAACTGCACAATGATTTTGACAACAGGTAACATTTTCAAAATAACATAAAGCAAATAAAGAAGCGAAGGTAAAACACAAGATGGCAGCTGTATAGTGTAAAAAGATAGCCAATCTTGCTTGCTTTGAAAACCTCTAACCCACCATGTTACGCTGTGCATTAGGTAGTGACTTTCATTTAGCCTTTTCTGTGGCAACATGGAAAATTGCTGAAGAACATGTGCAATGTAGCCAAAAATGATATTCAAGCATAGAGATGAGGACTAACTTTAAATGTGTTAATTCCAGCACTACACCAGCATATAGGACAAAATATGATTAAAAAGCAGCAATATTATCGTACCTAAAATATAGGGGTTTACTTATAAAGAATTCACTGGGTCGCTCACCCTGCAAAAAAAATACTTTTTCCCATGCTTCTTTAGTGTCATCTAGGAGGTCATAATGCAATATTACAACCAGAACATTTGAATTTAATTACACTTGCAAAGGAAGAAACTAAAGAACATTTGTTTCTGCATATATATATGCACAGGACGAACGTTCACAGATAGTCACATGTCGAACAGCCTGCAAATTCTTTATAAATCAACCCCATAGTGTTGCTTTGCTTTACTGCCTAGAAACAGAACACTTCTTATTGCCTAGAAATAAAAATTGGAGAAGATCAACAAGGCACTTTAGGTTGTAAGCGAGATGTTTGCTGTATCATGATCATTCTCATATGACATTCCAGCTATATTAAGTTGAGGTTGAACATCCAGAATGAAAGTCTCTTTCAGATCGTTCTGATTGAACTGAACTGTATTTAATGATAACAAAAGTGCACAACTGTTTTAAGTGGCACAAGTAGACAGCATTCAGTTTGTAGTGCTACGTAATCTCTCGATATTGATAATCCAAGCATTGTGTGCAGGATGAAAACATGTATGTTGAGTGACAGGGGATCCTGACAGAAGACTGTCAGAGTAAGAAACACTAGGAAATTCAACTACATAACACCATAAAGATTTCAAATCATAAGAAAGGCAAATTCCACAGTTGTAAGGCTTGGTGTTACTAGTGGACTCCAAGGTTCAAAGGAATATCGTACCACAGGAAAAGCTTGTCCCTTTAGGAGGAGGAACCTTGTAGATTCCACTCTGCTTCAGATACGGAACTTTTCACCCTTAGAGATGTCTCAATGTATGTCACTCCGGTATGAGGACTCACAACCCAAAGAGGGCATCTTCATCTTTTTCCTTCCTGCCCTGTCCTGTGCTGGTTGCTGCCCGGGGGGCCTCCGTTGAGGGAGAAGACAAAGGTGGAAGTCGATCTGCAACCTTTGCCCGCTCCTCTAGAAATTTATCAAATTCTGCAGGGAAAAAAACAAAACAAAGATCTTGTTCTGAAACAACGAAATACTAAAATATACAGAAAATAACCATGGGGTTAACTCACAAATTATAATGCATGTATGCACTTACTTGCCATAATGATCATTATGAACAGCAAATCATAGTGGTATTTGCTATAAAGAATAATTTTGACAAAAATCTCTCTAGATCTGTCAAATGACTGTTATGTTTATAATATATTTAGGGATGCACAGATATCTTTTTTTGGTGCCGATATTTTTTTTACCGCATACCGGAAGTCCTATTAAGGAAGCCGGGTGGCATGTAATAGCTCGTCACCCGGCTTTCTGATTAGTCGGGAACTCAGCTCCATGCTCTCTCGTCACCAGGTGATGAGAAAGCACGTAGTTGGTGTTCTATCGAAAGCTCCAACTCGTCAAGGTCTCCAACTACCTCACTTCCCACAATACTTGTCGAGTTCTCCAATAGGTGTACTGCTTGGTATGGTTAAAATTCAGCTGTACAGACCTCCTTCTGTTTTGCAGTGTAATGCCATCTCATTGAAATCTCCAACGTGCAAGTACCCGGAAGTGAGGTGGAGATCTCGACAAGATGGAGCTTTTGATAGAACACCCAGCTTTCTGGCCAATCGGGAAGCCGGGGGAAATGTAATGAATCGCCGCCCGGCTACCTGATTGGCTGGGAAGCCAGCTCCATGCTCCCTGGTATCGAGGGAGCATGGTGCCGGCTCCCCGGGCAATCAGGAGGCGTGTAATGACTCGCTGCCCGGCTTCCTGATACCGGAAGTACCGGGAGCATTCAGCCAAGTACGAACCCAAATTCTCGGTATCGGCACCAATCCTGATACTAGTATCGGTGCATCCCTAATTAATTTAGAACAAAACTTTACTTTGTATTTCCAGGGCCATTGCAGTGGATGGGCAAACTGGGTAATTACCCAATTTCCAATGACTTTGAAAGATTGTTCTTCCCAAGGCCCTCCTTTACCTCTCACCTTCATAAAATCAAGAGAGATAAATGTTTTTTCATCTCTGTGGACATGCTTATTGCTTACAGACAGGATTTTTATGACAGAAGAGAGTCTGTGAATCACTGTCATAGAATTTTGGTTTCTGTACACCGAGTTATACATTGCCTTCTGTGTGCAGGCTTGGCAGAATTCCTTACGTAGACAAAGCAACTCCCAACACGCATATGCCAGAGTTACATTATTTTAGCCAGGCGAATCAAGTGGCCGAAGACTAAAAACCAGGAAGACGACATGGAAGCGCCAGTAAAAGGAAAAAAGCACAGACATCACAGCGTTGGAGGGGATCGTTTTGGCAGGTAATACTGCCATAATATACCAATATGATGTGCATACTAGCGCAATATGGCTAACAGCTCCTTTTTTTGTTAAGTAAACTTTACTATCGCTTTAAAGGCTTTGTGTTCAAGGACAAAAGCACCAAAAGCACAATGTGAAAAAAAATCACCAAAATCAGAATATCGTATCATAAAAGCCAACCCATTTGGTGGGTTCAAAGGGTCCCCCTTTCCAGGGCTTAGTATTGTAGGATGAAGCATGTATTGGAAAATACAATTGGATGGATCCTGAGGGGTAATTAAAATGCTCACTGCAGATACTAGATAAGCAGGAGGCTGCTAGGCTTGCACACCATCACAGGGAAGCAGGTCACATGCTCCTTCATACCTTGAAGTGCAGGGTATTTAGACAGGCTGCTGAGAAGCAAGGAGTTAAAAAGATAAAACAGGAAAAGTGACTATATGTGGATTAAGATTGTGTTCTTTGAAGCCACCACAAAAAAAAAAAAAATCGATTTAAATATTTAAATCACATTGCATAGCCTTTCCATTTACATTACTTTAGCACTTGTGCAGTAAAGATCTGTAGCTATATTAGCAGAAAAACCCCAACTCTAAACTCTAAACCATGACAGCTTAAATGCAGAAAAACAGAAGTTCTGCTATTGTTTATAAAGTGTAGGGTACTTGCCTTCACTTGTGACACCATCTTCTCCCTCAATCTCTTCTTCCTGTGTGTGAGAAGAAAATGCACAGATTATAGATTTTCTGAATGTGGAGCAATAATCAGCAATTCTAATACTAGTCCTGCTTTGGCTGTCAAAATGGATGCAATACACGGCTGCTCTAAGTGGTAGTGTGTATTTTTTTCCTGTATTTATCATGAGAATGAATTGAAGCCTACAGCTCCAGTTAACTCCACACTCTTTTGCAGGACATATACCTGGAATGTGCACAGGTGTGATGTTAGGCAATCTATGCAGGGTTTCATTTAATTATCTTGCTCCACCAAACTATGAGAAAAGCCGGAAGGCTTACCATGTTTAGAGCTCAGGCCTTGTTCACACCAAGCGCGGAGCAGCTGCAGAGCAGAGCAGTTGCAGACCGGATCAAAACTGCGTCCAATGTATTCCAAATGGTATTTTTTGCTCCAGTTCACATCGCAGCGTGCAGTTCCAGAGCAGGTGAAAAAACTGCAGCAAGCCCTATTTTACCTGCTCTGGAACCCATGCAAATGCATCAAAAACGCATGCAAATGCCTGGAACGCACTGAAAGCCCATGTTAAACTAAAAAAAAAATTATATATATTTTTTTACCAAAAACGGCCCGGAACGCATCAAAAACGCGGCACAACCCACTGCACTACGTGTGCAGAAACCTGAGCGGATCTGCTCTGCATTTGGTGTGAACAAGGCCTTATAATCACACATCACCGAGGAAATATAAGCTGCGAGTTCCTCACATACCCTAGAACACTGGAAATACCTAAAAGTATAGCATTTTAAGCCTAATAAACTGTACAAGACTTTGGGAGTAAGCAAGGGTAAAGTTAAAATATATCGTATACATATATACTTTTTTAGACTGAATCCTCTTTTGTTTCTGCTACACCAAGAACTTTCTAGTACTTTAATCATTTTTTTAAATTCTACTGTTATCAAATGCTGCATTTCAATGAATCAAGCAAACTCTGAATCCTCCTATCTGAGGTTATGGCTATAAGAAAAGCCAGCTTTTGAAACACAGTCAACAGAAGACATTCTCTGATGAGTTTAAATGGAGTATTTCAAAGGATTAAAAGAACCAAGTTCACGTCGTTTGAGTGGCCACCGTTTCTCAGAACCTGGACTTTACCAGTCATTCAGTGATCAAAAAGCAGGACTCAGTAATAGACCCCACAAGAGTAGATCAGACCACCTTCATAGTGCGTCAGCGAGTCAGTGGGGTTGATTTACTAACCTTTTAAACACACCACGAACGTGTATACACCTCTGTAGTGTGTTCCCTCCCAGCATGATCTATGGGAGGAATCGAAACACCTTTGTAGTGTGTACACACCCAGCAGGTGTGTTGTGCAAAGCCCTGCAATGAATTGCAAGGTAATGTGGTGTAAATTAACACTATGTTATGTTGCTTGCGTTGATGAATGCAGGAATGTAAATGCATGAGCTAACCATTTTTGTCTAAACTGTGAAGCAGCATTATATATGCATCATGTGCATGATTTTTCCATATATGGCATTAGTGGAAATATGCTTTTAGAGACTTTTTGGTTGATAAATACGTTTTGCTGTGTGAAAATCACACACACCTGGTGCGTGCGTGCGTGTGTTTAGGTTAGTAAATCACCCCCAGTGAATCAGGTCTGAGAACAAAGTGCTCCTGGGTCAGTCTGTAGCAATGAGGATGACACTTTTTGGTAGCTTTACCCTCTGCAGAAGCTAGGGAAGATGATTCAAGGGTGATCCCATGAAGCCATAGAGCATCCACTACATCTGCCAAGTGATCCTTGGAACTTGCGACAGACCTGTCACTGACAGAGTGGATGAAACTTCTCTTGTTTCACAGACGATACTTCTGGATCAAGAGGTTGTTGAGGATTCATCAGTTTTCCACACAGGGAATGTAGAACACAGAGAGTGCAGTCACTCATTGGACCACTCATCTGAGAATGAGTTTGATCTTCTGCGGTGTTGAGGCTTTTTGTACCCCCTTGGTCCCAGTCCAACAACTGATCACAGATCAGCAGCTTGAGGCCTTGTACTTAATTTGTGTCAGCATATACAGAATAGCCATGATCCACTGATTAATGAAGGAATAGTATCAGGTACACACATTATAAAGCTTGCACTACAAGACACTTTGAAAGACACAATGGCATGCTTCTGTACAGTTTAGTTCCATCCTGAAATGCAGTCCTGACAATCACTGTGTTTGGATAATAACCTCTGAAAACCATACAGAAAATCATCAGCCTTTCTGCTGATGAGCAACAGCACAATAAAGTGCATGACATCAAGTGGCGTGTTTATAACGCACATAGGTACCTTAGTTAACAAGCTACACAAAGCTTTTACAAAGCAGTAAACTAGAAATCTACTGACCTAACAAGTATTATTGAAAACAAAGCAGATAATGTGTCCAGGCTAATATAGTTTTTTTTACGTGTAATATAGCAAGACAAATTCTGTGCAAATGCACTGGAAATTATTTGAAGGAACTTGTAGCCAAACATATATATATATAAAACAAGCTTTCTCCAAAAAATCAACACATAGGAATAAAGCAACATATGTATTTCAAGAGTGGGTTTGTAAAGGACCAGGCTTGAAGATCTGGTATTCTTATTTCTAGGCCAAACAACTTACAGCATCTGTGGAAAGCCATTTCTCAATGTCTTCCATAAAGTTGTTTTGAGTCACTGGAATCTGGTAGAAAAACAAAAAAAGATTTTGCCTTTATTTCAGTATTTGTATTACAAATTATGATGACTAGGCACACTAACTTACAAATTACGATGTGAAAGCCAGTCTGACACCACGAGAACTACTAATGATAATCAGTTGTGTCTGACTCCAGAAATAATAAAATATATACCAAAAATTGATTTGAAGGACATTAATTGAACAATTTAGTTAAGACCTTCAGATAAACAACTTGGTATAGGTTTGAAGCACGTAAGGCTTGTTGCACATTCAACAGTACATCCCATTCCAATGACACACTTGATAATACTGGCTTTTGAGTGTTCTAGCCTGGCTTTCTTGATACTATAATTCATGCATAGTTCATAAATATAACAATATCACTTTCCTTTAGTAATATAAACAGTAAATCCTTTGTATTATTTATAGAAAAATGTCTTCCGTCTTCTATGATCTTTTGGTAATTTACAAATCCTAATAGTATGCTTTCTAAACTTCCAACTCATAGGTCTTCCAACATGACCCTCTGCATAAGGTACACAATGCTCTTTTTTTATTAGATTTTTAATTTGTGATTAAAATCTTGTAGACCTAGTAAATGAAGTTCTCTGAAGGATTTGCCTAACTCTCAAGTGATTTAAATCTGAAAAGTAGAGACAGAATTTTGTACATACAAAGAAGAGCAAAAAAAAATTGACAGATAAAGTGATTAGACAACACACTATGGACCACTATAGCGATTTTACGTCTAAAGGTCTCCACACACCTTACGATAATCGCGGGAAATCCCGCGATCGTACGATTATCGTAAGGTGTGTGGAAGCCGTGCGACCTCTACTACTGTAAGCCAGTAGAAAGGTATCATGGCACACTGACAAACCAGCATGTAAAACAACTTGTCTCACCACTAAGGTTAATAACAGAGGTTTGGATACACGTCTTCTGCAGAAAATGTGAAAGCCGCACAGCCGCTCCAAGGCACCTCTTATAGTGCGGTCCTAACTCTAAACTATGAGAGTCTCCATCTTGGAGCACATGGGGGCAGAAGATTTCAAATTGGGTGCAGGTTTGTCAGGAGGAAGCCCAACCTCCTTAAAGGCACAGGAACACACAAGGGATCCCGCACATCCCAATGGCAGCTGAGAACCCCCATGCGTCACTGCACCAAATCGGTCAAGGAAAACAAATGACAAACGCACTCAACAATTTGTCACCAGCTATACAGTAAGGTGCACATGAAATGGGCTTTGAACAGTAAAACAGTAGAAAGGTATCATGTGACACTCACAAACCAGCATGTAAAACAACTTGTCTGGTGAGATGGTTGTAAGGTACTTAAAAAAACGTACGATCTGCCTATGTTGCATAGGCAGATCGTACTTGCGATGATCGCAAGTACGATCTGTCTGGTGAGACAAGTTGTTTTACATGCTGGTTTGTGAGTGTGCCATGATACCTTTCTACTGTTTTACCGTTCAAAGCCCATTTCGTGTGCACCTTACTGTATAGCTGGTGACAAATTGTTGAGTGTGTTTGTCATTTGCTTTGCTCTACTACTGTAAGGTCGGACGACTTTAAACTTACAGACATGTTTCAAAACCCGCCGAGCATCGTACGATGTTTGGCGGGTCTGTAGCATGTTCGTAAGATAAAAGCCGGACGGGCCGGTGTGCGCAAGCGCACACTGCCTGTTCGGCATTGCGGTCATCGGAAGCCCGCCCCTCAGGGGGCGTGGCTTGCGATCATCGCAAGTACGATCTGCCTATGCAACATAGGCAGATCGTACGTTTTTTTAAGTACCTTACAACCATTGCACGACAGAAGTCTTGCGATGGTTGTAAGGTGTGTGCCCAGCCTTACAATGGTCTCCTACTCCTAGTAACTAGCTTTTCCAACTAAAACAAATACTCTCAAGCCTGGAAAACATGAAAAAAAGCTTCAATGGGTTAAAATGCTCTCTCAGGTGTGAACCAGAGACCGATTCACAATGTTCTTTATTGATTTTGACTCTGCCACCTTCATCGGCTGTGGAGGAAATGTGTTGATTGCTTCTAATCTGTGTGTATGTGGCAAATAACTAATTGCAATATAGATTGATTAAATGTTCGTTTAGAATTGATCAATTCAATTTATGATTGCGCCTTCATAATTTTGGTTGACATTTTTATTTGATCACAAAGTGCGAAACAATACTGTTTGTGTTGAGGGCCATTTGATTTTTTGATCTCCATAATGAATCACTTGTTTGTGGTCATTCATACCTGGATCAAAACACAAATCACTACATGTATAGCCACCTTTAGGCTGCAGGCAGAACTGAATGGCAACTAAAAAGGGATCATTTTTCTGGGTTTACATAAAAGTACATTTAACAACATTTCTAGCAGTAACTGTGTTAGTGATCATATTCTTAAAAAAAAAAAAGGAAAAAGATGTTAGCTTTATAGCAACCCTGAAAACTTCCAATTAGAATACCCAGGGAGCACAGCAATGCCTATGTCGGTCGATAATAGCCTAGACAGCCAATAACACATCATCTGGGGGTGTAATCACGCAGCTCAGAGACACAGTACTCCTGTAACGAGCACCACTCAGTCCAGAATGATCACCCACCACTTTCACAGTGGAGGAAGAAGGACCTGTCATATTACTGGACTAGACTGAAGACTGCAGAAAAAAAGGTATGTAAGGGGCTGTTATAAATAAATACATCTGAGAGGAGCTTCAGAGAGAAGAAGGGGAATGGCTGGGAAGATGGAGTTTCACTAACATCTTTTTCACAAATCTTCCCTTTGCTGTAACAATTTTTTTTTCATTATTTTTGGACATTCTGTACAAATTTTGTACATTGCTCTGTCAAATGTTAACGGAATCAAGGTACAATGCAAGTAATGCCTATGAATGTAACAACCTAAAACAAAAAAAAACAAAAAAAACACTTTAAAATAAGCACCTAAGATATAGCATTTATTTCTTTTTTTTCCATTTTCTGAGCTGCAAGTGACAAACCGAAACAGCTTTAATGCAAGTGGGTCAAATTATCATCTAAATTATTATATCTCATGCAATCTTCTGTGGAGCGATCACCCCAAAACGTTCCCACAAGCCCCTGCATATTCCATTAGCTTTCAAACTAAAAATGACTTGTGTGTGCTGCACTCTACAATCTAAAATGTACATATAAATGGAGATTAACAAAAGCAAGAACAGTATGCAATGAAACAGCAGCTAGGTTGACCTTGAAAGTAATGTGTAGAGAATTAAAAAGAGTGCCATATTGATAAAAGAACCAGATGAGTCATTTAACTTACTGGCATCCACACCAAATAGGAATATGAGGTAGACTTAGCATTAAATAACATAAGAAAAATGGTCTGCAGGGTTACATTCTTTTACATAGATGTCGAATTATTACATACCGCTCCAGTGTTTTGCTGCCGAGTATCCAGGGCTCCGGCAAGACCATCTGCAGCATGTGGATCCTCATACTTCACACTGATTGAGACAAATGTGTCAAGAGATATACAGTTACAAGGCAGTGAAAAAAGATGAAGGTATAAAGTACAGAAAAAATATGTGAAATAAATATAGAGACATAAATATAAGAATGATGATCCAGAGTGACCGGTTAACTTAGTAAATAGGATGGACAAAGGAACAATAGGCATGGGAGAAAGCTATGAGTGTCTCTTTAGATATACAGATGTGCAGCAAACAAAAGAAGTCACAGCACATTTCCATACAAAGCAACCTTGAATGTGTATGAAGATGTTTTTGCTGGACTGCACTTTCATGTTTTTTTCTGTCAACAAGCGTTCAAGGCTCTTTGATATACTGGGCTTAATTCAAGCAATTGTCTATATATTTACAGAGAACTGTTTTACCACAAATGGCAAAAAAAACTTTCCTGAATGTACAGATGTTTTTCAGCAACATAAGAGTTTATGTCCAAGCAAATGAAAAACACTTCCTACTAATGCCCCAAGCCAAATGTATTGCTGTGTAGAATCAATGTTGTCAGTAGGCAACCTGAGGCTGCTGTAAGTAGTTGGATTCATTCCATGGTATGAAGGGATTTTTTTAGGCTGTTGGAGGTCAACCCGATCATAGAAATGCTCGTCAGAGAGAGGTCCGCTGTTCACAATGGCCTCGATGATGAAGAAGATCCCCACCACCATGCCGCTAATCAGGAAGAACGGAACAAAAGCTCTTAAGTGCTTGCACCAGCCACACAGCTCAGAAAAGTGCATGGTTAGGAAAGGGAGATGCAAGAGAACCAGTCAGAGGCAAAAAAAAGAAAGAACGAACAAGTGATTGGAACAAAATAAAAAAGGAAATAAATCTAAGTTCAGATGAAAGTTCTAATCCTTGAAACTACAGAGGATCAATGCAGACAGAAAAGCAGCTGAAGACCTGTTGAAGATGTGTGTGTGCCAGAGGAGTCAAAAATAGAATAAAGACCCGGAGGAGAGTAATTTGATGTCACCCTCAACACCCAAAAGCAGCTCTCACTCCCCTCCAATGACTAATGTTCATTTGCTACAAGGGGTCAACTTTCACCTTTAATTACTTCACATGATTGACCTTGGGTTTCTCAGTTCACAGAACTTTGATTTACAACCAGGCACTACTCCATGTGTCATCTGCCTAACTGAAGACGTTAGAAACCTTCAGAGTATCATAACCCTTGAAATCACTATGAATTTCTTACAGAAAGACAAAATTATATATACACATACACACACACACACATATAGTGGGGCAAAAAAGTATTTAGTCAGCCACCAATTGTGCAAGTTCTCCCACTTAAAAAGATGAGAGGCCTGTAATTGGCATCATAGGTAGACCTCAACTATGAGAGACAAAATGAGAAAACAAATCCAGAAAAATCACATTGGCTGATTTGGAACAAATTTATTTGTAAATTATGGTGGAAAATAAGTATTTGGCCACCTACAAACAAGCAAGAGTTCTGGCTCTCACAGACCTGTACCTTCTTCTTTAAGAGGCTCCTCTGTCCTGCACTCATTACCTGTATCAATGGCACCTGTTTGAACTTCTTATCAGTATAAAAGACACCTGTCCACAACATCAAACAGTCACACTCCAAACTCCACTATGATGAAGACCAAAGAGCTGTCGAAGGACACCAGAAACAAAATTTTAGACCTGCACCAGGCTGGGAAGACTGAATCTGCAATAGGCAAGCAGCTTGGTGTGAACAAATCAACTGTGGGAGCAATAATTAGAAAATGGAAGACATACAAGACCACTGATAATCTCCCTCGATCTGGGGCTCCACGCAAGATCTCACCCCGTGGGGTCAAAATGATCACAAGAACGGTGAGCAAAAATCCCAGGACCACACGGGGGGACCTAGTGAATGACCTGCAGAGAGCTGGGACCAACGTAACAAAGGCTACCATCAGTAACACACTACGCCGCCAGGGACTCAGATCCTGCAGTGCCAGACGTGTCCCCCTGCTTAAGCCAGTACATGTCCGGGCCCGTCTGAAGTTTGCTAGAGAGCATTTGGATGATCCAGAAGAGGATTGGGAGAATGTCATATGGTCAGATGAAACCAAAATAGAACTATTTGGTAGAAACACAACTCGTCGTGTTTGGAGGAGAGAGAATGCTGAGTTGCATCCAAAGAACACCATACCTACTGTGAAGCATGGGGGTGGCAACATCATGCTTTGGGGCTGTTTCTCTGCAAAGGGACCAGGACGACTGATCCGTGTACAGGACAGAATGAATGGGGCCATGTATCGTGAGATTTTGAGTGCAAACCTCCTTCCATCAGCAAGGGCATTGAAGATGAAACGTGGCTGGGTCTTTCAACATGACAATGATCCCAAACATACCGCCCGGGCAACGAAGGAGTGGCTTCGTAAGAAGCATTTCAAGGTCCTGGAGTGGCCTAGCCAGTCTCCAGATCTCAACCCCATAGAAAACCTTTGGAGGGAGTTGAAAGTCCATGTTGCCCAGCGACAGCCCCAAAACATCACTGCTCTAGAGGAGATCTGCATGGAGGAATGGGCCAACATACCAGCAACAGTGTAAATCTAAAATTAGTATAGAGACATTACTCAAAGTTACTATCTGCCCTCATACGAATGCACTTTCCAAAATGTAAATCTGAATGATCAGCGCTGACTTCCTTTGTAGCATACAGAAATTTAAAGTAGAATTGACATCTATGTCCCTTTGGAGAAACTTCCTGTCCGACAGCCAAAACAGATAATCCCTCCAAAAAGTGAGGGGAATTCCTGGTTGTCAGTAGGGTCACCGGAACTATTATCCCTATTGGAAGATTCCACATATGTTTCTGTTCTGATGACAACCCCAAATTTGTAATTTCTTATACTTTCAGTGATCAAGATTACCAGGATAAAGAGAGAGGGTGAATCTCCTAACAAGGATACAGACGACAATAAAAATCTGATATGCGCTCTAAGCTCTCTCTAATCGATCAAAAACTAAAAAACAAGTTTCGGCTTCAGTTGCCCAATAAATATCGGACAGGTGTTCTACTCCCTCTCCACTATCAAAAAATAAAAAGTTTTGGCTTCAGTTGCCCTTTAAGTTTCACTACCGAGGAATTAATGCACCAAGAAAGAGTTACCACTTCTTCTTGCAAAGCTGACAAGTTTATAGCACGCACATGTTTTAGCCACCCTAACACTCACACACTATTTTCTGAATCAGTAGGTTCCTGCTGCAGAAAACTCAAAACACACATTCACACAGTGTAATTGAAGCCAGTGGCGTAACCAGAGTTATGGGCGCCCGGGGCAGAACATTTTTTTTCGCCCCCCCCAGCGTCCTGGCAAGCGCCCCCCCGGTTGTTACGCCACTGATTGAAGCCCAATGCTGGCCATACACCTATAGATTTTCTATGTTCAGATGGAAAAACTGCAACAGATTTCTCCATCTACGCTAAACTGTGTGGATGGAGGAATCTCCCACTGGGCCAAGCTTCAGTATCTTGCTAGTTGGCTCTGCTGGCTCTCAAAATACCTGAACAATGCCTGCATCCAGTCAGATTGTTCAGATATTTTGGCAGCCAGCGGGGCCAACTGGCAAGATACTGAAGCTTGGCCCAGTGGGAGATTCCGCCGTCCACACAGTTTAGTGTAGATGGAGGAATCTGTTGCAGTTTTTCCATCTGTCCATAGATAATTGGACAGGTATTGCCAGCTTTAGAGACTATCAATTACCATGCTAAAAGAGAGCTCCACTTTCGTTAAAATAATATAGCCTGCGCAATTGCGACACAAGCCATACTGTAATTAAATGTAATTAAAAATTACCTTTCTATCTCAAACTGCAGCCACTGTAGTTTTCTAAAACTGTCAATACAATATGGCAACCTGGATGCATTCTGTACACTGCTGGTGTACAGAAAGCTAACAGAAAAAAAAAAATAC